AAATCTGTATTATTTTTTCTATAGAACATTTAGTTTTAGCCTACTCTAGACATCTATTTCAGTGCTGCACTATGTAGCTTCAGTGTATTTCCTCAAGCTGTATGATTAAATCACCTAAGTAATTTAGATTATTAACTAAAGTCACAGCTCAGAGCCAATGTAAAAGGTAGCTTATCTTAGTGTATTTGGTACATATACCTAGCCCAAATGCGGTATGTTAGCCCACCAAGAAAAATTAGGCTAGAGTCCTACATACAGAAAATGGAGGTAGTAAGAAACTAATTTAAAGATTATGTGGTAAAACAACATGATTTGAGAGGAGTCTCTTCAACAATTCTTCTGAGAGAAGAATTTTACTTTCCCCTTCAGCCTATTCAACCAAAGACAAGTCAATTCTTCTCTTCCAGGCATTTTTTTTTTTTATATTTTATGTTTCTGTATTTATATTTCTGTATCTAGCTGAATACAGCATTCATGTTTTCCTTTAGCCATCCAATCTCCATGATAAATACCCCCCAGTCCAACCACAAATCACATGACAACCCTTCATCAGCTATGAAATCTGTGCGACTCTGAGCAAGTTATTTAACCTCTCAGTGCCTCCGTTTTCTCTGTAAACTGAGGATAACATTGGATCTACCTTATAGAATTGTTGTAAGGATTAACTGAGACATATCAAGCATTTAGAACATTTGCACATGAGAACGCTCAGTAAGTGTCAGCCCTTATTTGGCCTCTTCTGACACATTCCAGTTTGTATCTTTTTTTTTTTTTTTAAGATTTATTTATTTGAGAGAGAGAGAGAAAGCATGAGTGGGAGGGGCAGAGGGAGAGAGAGAATCTCAAGCAGACTCTGCACTGAGCATGGAGCCCTACCTGGGGCTGGATCTCATGACCCTGAGGTTATGACCTGAGCTGAAACCAAGTGTTGGGCGTTTAACCGACTGAGCCACTAAGGCACCCCTCCTGTACTCTGATTACTCCAGAGCATGATGCAACTACCTTTGATCTGAATCAAAGATTTTATTATTGTAGTCTAAGATTAAATTAGTACTTCTAGAAGTCATATCAAAGTGTTTATAACCAGCTTATGCTCAACTAGAACTCCCAACCCATACTCATATATCCTGCTTGCAAGCAAGCTTAGATAATTCTGTATCTGTACAACTGACTTTTAATGCAGAACAATTCATTTATCCAGCCTAGCACTGTCATGTATAAATTTAATAAGCATCTCTCCTGAATCTTTAGTAAAATCATGGGGAGGATAAAGTCACTGGGCAGAACACAGAAGCATTTTATTAGATGATATCTTTCAAGTTGGGGCCAACTTTTTGGATTAAAAAAACTAGCTCTATTTACCTAAAACTACTAAATTTTTCTAGTATATCCATGCATCTTATTCAAAAGGATAGAAGTTTATCATATGACTTATAACTTATATGACTTATTATCAATGCATATCAGAAAGCTAATTTGGAAAGTTTTCCAGTGAACTTATATTTGGCTCCTACCGTATTTTATTTTTAATTACCTATCTGCAGGTAGGTAATTGATTCATCTGAGGGGTGTGATGGTCATGGAAATGTGCCACCAAATCTGCTAGGAGCATGGCTGGCTGGCGATCCAATACCAGGTCTGCACCGCTCCCAGCCAATGAGAGTGGTCTGTGGCGATACCAACACAGGTCCATTCCTGGGGGTCTTGTCTACCAGGGAACTTTGACCTAAGGACTCCCCACTGGCCTGCCAAAACTTTGCTGGAACTGTGCTGTAGGCTGAGACTCTTCTTATCTAATCTTCTTCCTTCTCCCTTTCCGTTCACATGTAAAGACCTGCACTATGATCTAAAGGCTTTCCTTGCCTCCTTCTGCTCCCTCCCCTTTGTTCTTTGCAGGTGTTCCCAATATACCTCGTGCACATCTAATCCCATCTTAGCATCTGTTTCCCAGGGAACAAAAACTGACACAAGGGTCCATGTCAAATTGAGATGTATTTGCAGACTCCAGACTACCTTTTTCTATTTTCTGAAAATATGAGTAATAACCGGAAATGGACTGTCCTTCTTTTCTAAAAATTCATTGAAATGTCCTTGGTAGCATCACTTCATTGATGCTGAATATCAATTTAAAGAATTATGTAACTTTTTTTTTTTTTTTAAAGTAGGCGCCACATCCAGCATGGAGCCCAATGCAGGGCTTTAACTCATGACCCTGAGATCAAGACCTGAGCTAAGATCAAAAGTCAGATGCTTAACTGACTGAGCCACTCAGGTGCCCCAAGAATTATGTAATTTTTAAAAAGTTATCATTTACTGAGTATTTATTATGCACCAAGCACTTTATATGCATTATCTCCTCACATTCTACAAAAATTTATGAAGTGGGTTTTATGATGATCATTTTATAGAAAAGAGAATTGAGATTTAGATTTGCCCAAAGATACAGGGATATTACAAGGAAAACCTGGGAACTGAACTCTCTGTTTTTTTTTTTTTTTTT